AGGACCCCGCCGAGGCCCGCTGGCTGGCGGGCGCGGGCGCGCTGCTGTCCGGCCTGCTGCTGTTCCTGCTGCTGCCGCCGCTGCTGTTCTCGCGCATGGAGGGCTGGAGCTACCTGGAGAGCTTCTACTTCGCCTTCGTCACGCTCAGCACCGTGGGCTTCGGCGACTACGTGATTGGTGAGCGCCTGGCAGGGGGCGGGGCCAGCTGTCAGGGGTGGGGCCAGTTAGTAGGGGCAGGGCCAGCTAGTGGGGCGGGGCCAGCTGTCAGGGGCGGGGCTGGCTGGCAGGGGTGGAGCTAGCTGTCAGGGGCGGGGCCAGCTGGCAGGGGTGGGGCCGGCTGGTAGGGGTGGAGCTAGCTGGCAGGGGCGGAGCCAGCTGGCAGGAGTGGGGACAGCTGGCAGGTGCAGGGCCATCTATTGGGGCGGAGCCAGCTGTCGAGGGTGGGGCCAGCTGGCAGAGGTGGAGCTAGCTGGCAGAGGTGGGGCCAGATGGCAGGGGCGGGGCCAGATGGCAGGGGCAGAGCCAGGGAGATGTCCCCCAGGGAGGCCATCTGGCCTGGGCTCACAAGGTTCTCATGGGAGCAGAGGTCACTCCTCCCCCCCCCAGAGGTCACACACACACACACACACACACACACACACACACACACACACAGGCTGGCCTCCAGTGGGTGAAGAGAGAGTCTGCCACACCTTCCTTCAGCCAGAGGCCCAACCTGGATTGTTTCGTTGGTAGGTAGTAGAGCTTGAAATCTGGGCCTGGGCACTGTCCCTGAGCTCTTTTGCTCAAGGCGAGCGCCCTACCACGTTGACCCACAGTGCCACTTCCGGTTTTCTGGTGGTTTATTGGAGATAAGAGTCTCATGGACTTTCCTACCCAGGCTGGCTTTGAACCTGGATCCTCAGATCTCAGCCTCCTGAGTAGCTAGGATGACAGGCGTGAGCCACCAGCGCCTGGCTCTCAGCCTGGATTGTTCGAAACATTTTGTTGTTGTTGGTCATGGGGCTTGAACTCTGGGCCTGGAAGCTGTCCCTGAGCTCTTCAGCTCAAGGTGAGTGTTCTACCGCTTGAGCCACAGCGCCACTTCCGGTTTTCTAATGGTTTATTGGAGTTAAGAGTCTCATGGACTTTCCTGCAGGGGCTGGCTTTGAACCTTGATCCTCAGATCTCAGTCTCCTGAGTAGCTAAGATTACAGGTGTGAGCCACCGGCACCCAGCGTAGCCTGAACTCTGGGGCCTGAACTCTGGGCCTGGGCGCTGTCCCTCAGCTCTTCAGCTCAAGGCTAGCACTCTACCACTTGAGCCACAGCACCACTTCCGGCTTTTTGGCTTTTTTTCTTTTTGTTTATGTGGTGCTGAGGAATCGATCCCAGGGCCTCATGCATGCAAGGCAAGCGCTCTACCACTGAGCCACCTTCCCAGCCCTAGCCTGGATTGTTGAGATGAGGTTTTAGCAAGGTGACCAGCAAGCAACTCAGCCGGCAACCCAAAGGGACGGTCACCAAGTAGGCAGTGGACGCTGGGAGAAGCCACCCCGCCGGCTGAAGTTGCACCGTGAGATGCGCATGAAGAGTTTGTTTGGAGCTGGAGCTCATCATCTTCCAAGAGGCCAGGCTGCCCCTTAAGTCCCTTCCTACCCTCAGGTGGCCGCTTCATCTGCAGGAGGGAGGGGAAACTGAGGCCCAGGGTGGAGCAAAGAGTCGGTGAAGGCTTTAGAGCAGCAGGCAAGGCTACAATCAATTCCCGGGGCAGAAATCCTCACTCACATCTATTCTGGAATCTTCCACACCTTCTTCCCCCAAACCTCAGCTTCCCCAAGGGACAAGCCAACCCCTTTCTCTGATGGGAATGTGGAGGCCCACCACCTGGATGCCAACTCTTCCTGAGTCACCACGGCAGGGGCCAGAGTGCCCTGCATCCCCCTCCCTCTCCCCCACCCCCACGTCCCTCACCTGAGCACACACACAATTACATTTGCAGCTCAGCCGAGCGCCCGCCAGCTGCCAGCTGCCAGCTCCCAGCCCTTACGATTTGGGCTGCACAATGAAATAACAGGGGAGAAAAGGCTTTGCCCCTGCTCGGCGATCTCATTTGATCTTATTTGGGACCCGAGCGGAACCCAGCCTGTAACTCAATCATCCTAACGCAATCACAGCAGCACCGCTCTGCGCCTGGACCGTAGCATAGCAGGACCAGGAGTCAGGGAGTGTGGGAGGGGAGGGACAGGAAACAGGGCAGGGTCTGAGCCAAGCATGCTCACAGCTCCTGAGAACCGAGGTGGACACAATTCAGACAGCTCTGCTTCCCTGGCAGTCTGCCCTTTTCAGACTTAGAAGCCCAGACACAGACAGGTGGGCGGCTGAGCCAGTGTAGAGCTCTTGGTGGCTGTTAAAGTATAGAGGCTCCGTCACACACTGGTGGTTCCTTGCCTGTAAACCAGCTACTCAGGAGGCTGAGATCTGAGGATCATAGTTTGAAACCAGCCCAGGCAGGAAAATCCAAGAGACTCTTTTTTTTTTTTTTTTGGTTCCGGTCATGGGGCTTGAACTCTGGGCCTGGGCACTGTCCCTCAGCTCTTCAGCTCAAGGCTAGTGCTCTACCACTTGAGCCACAGCGCCACTTCC